TGGAGAGAACCTTATAATAATGAGGTGCATACTTTCGACTCGCCACCAGAGATGATGAGGGTTATCAAAACGATTGATTCTTCGGTAATTTAGAGACGCATTTTCAGCTACTTAGGTGGTGTAGCGTCGAATGATCGGGCGATTCTGTTAATGGTGAAGTGAAAAGACTTGAAAGGAAGCAGTCGTCACCAATTTGAAAGCACTTTCCCAGTAATTGCTCGGAGAGATTGAAGGAAACCACAGAAGACCTTATTCAGGATAGCCGATCTCTGAACCGAGGCTGGAACCCAGGAACCCCGGAATAGCAGCAGTAGTATTCGGGGGGATGATAATATTGACTGAATGTGTAGCATACAAAGGAGAGGCGAGCAATGAGCTCGTAATATTAATAGGGGAGTCTGAAGGAAGACGACGATTCCTGGATATAGGCATAAATGGAATAATATCATTAAAATAGGTGTTAAAGAAATAGAGAGTGAGCCGGTAATAAATAATTGGGAACCACAGATAGGTGGAGAATTTCTTCTTGAGCTGCTGACAGCTTATCAAGAGGGACTCTGGACCACGAAACTAGTTATTTTGCAGGAACACCTTTTTGTATGGAATTAAAAAATAAATGGCTGAGAAGACAAATGACCCCCCCTCCCCCACCCACACACACGCACACACAAACAGTATATTTCATGTTGCTGAGTAATTATTTAGTTGTAAGTTCTCGCTTTAAGTTTAAGGCTTCGTCTGATATCAGTAAAAATTTTGATTTCTCAACAAAAAAAAAAACCCGGAAATCTCAGGCTAATAAACATTATATCCGAACATTAAACCAGAGTGAAAAATTCCAACTTGCTATGCCTTTTGGATTTGAAATTAATTTAAAGGAGTTCCCCTTAGTATGAATATATATATATATATATGTGTGTGTGTGTGTGTGTGTGTGTGAGAGAGAGGGAGATAAATACTGGTTTAAGCATTACTTCAGATTTATACATTTTCGACGTGTATTATATTCGTTCCAGAAGTTCAGCCGGATCTTGAAATAAAGTGGTTGATTTTACTGGCAGATTAATTCAACAAAGGGATTCAGAGTACCACATTGTGATAAATGTGATTTGCACACACAAGATGTTCAGGTTTTTCTTTTGTAGTTAAAAAGCAAATTTAGACAATATCACTGAACAGAAAATAATGCAACGAAAAAGAAGTCGTTTCCACCCTACATACATGAGCATAAAACTTTACTATCAAATGGACGTGACGCAAATCGTTATGACGTTTCGAAACTTGTAAGGAAGACATTATACTGTTTGTGAAATGTGTGGAGGCGTTCTTGTCACGTTTTCTAGAACTTAGATATAACATTCATTAAGAGGACTTCGCCAGTAGGCCTACATACGGAGAATGCTGGATGGACACTGAAAACCTTGAAAGTTAGAAATAGTACTGTGTACGGTTCAGTGTTTCATTAAGAAACCATCAATTTGTCTATTGAACTGGATCCCAGTTCTTCGTGGTAATTAATAACACATCTCGTTCATACGAATAAAGCACTTCTGAAAATTTGGGTTACGGATATACGTAAAGTTTACTACAAAAGAAGGGAGTACTTTTCCATTCACAACTGTAACGCAAACAACAAATATGACAACAACGGTGATGACGCCATCTGGTGATCTACGATTCATCAGAGCACATACAGGGACGTTCCCACAAAAGAGGCCACAAAGCCTTCTTCCCACCCACTTTGCAGATGCTCCTATTTACGTACTGGGACACGCGGTAGCGTAGTTGGTTGAGGCACCAACTGTGCTACAAGCCGGAAGGTCGCGGGTTCGATTCCCGATGAGGTAATTGGATTTTTCAATTCACCTAATCCTTCCAGAAGCATCATGACCCTCGAGAAGACTCAGCCTCTAACAGAAATGAATACCAGGAATGTTCCTGGGGGTTAAGAGCGGCAGGCGCGTAAAGATGACAAATTTACCCACATCTGTGAGCCGAGTGTCTAGAAAATGTGGCAGCCTCGACGTCTCACAGCCGTTGGGACCTTCACGAGCTGTTATAAGGAGAGCTTTACCTTTTTTTTTTTACCATTACCTACTTATGTACGTATTTCATTCGATGATATATAAGCATTTAATATATTTCTTGAATTATAAAATAAAAAATATATATATATATAAGCACGAAGACCACGTAAGTAAATAAAACTATCTCCATGGGATTGAGACACTCTGTTACTCTCTCAGCTATTAAGATATTCCTTGCCTTTTATTAACCCTAAAGTTGATCACAGCGTTTATACGAGGCCGTCACTGGACCATGACCTGAGCCAGTTTAATATAGTCCACGCCGTAATTTTTAAAATACATTTTCAAATTCTCTCATCCTTTGAGGTTTGCAGCGTGCTTTTATATATAATTTTCTTACGTTCCCATTTGTGCTACATGTTGCGCCCACCTCATTTTTAATTTTATCACTATAATAATACTTGGTGAAGATCACGTACTGAGAAGTTGCTTGCTATGTAATTTTCTATTTATGTCACTTTTTTTCGGCTCTACTATTCTTCTCAGATATTTAATCGAGGCCTAAACAACAGCGCATGCGCTATATACTTATATTATGACACTGGATTTTTGTTAAGGCCTACGACATTGCGTTTAGAAGCAACGAGCCTTCTATCGCTGTCCTCAGCATTCCACACAGAAGTCAGCTGACCAGCAACAGAAAGAGTGCACTGTTTACAAATGTCCTCTTTACATTCGTTCGGCCACCTCTCTCTCTTCGTGATGTACGTATAGTAACCTAGTTTTAATAATGAACTTCCACATCCCCGGGGATAAAGCAGCCGTGGCGTGAACCTGACCACTCACCTCCAACTAGTGCCCGAGGTCAAGAAAACGGGGGTATATATATCCACTCCCCCATACGACTTCATGGCGTTGTGCTTAATTAGTTTAGAACAGGGACAACTTTACATTTTACATTTTACCTTCCATATTAAACTTCATGCATGTTCAATAAGGCGTAATAGTTGACAGACACAACATACCAGTCCCTGTGTACTTAGCGTAAACTAAATCTAAAATGCAAACTATCATCTGGGAGTGGCTGTACTCTTATCGTTTGCTATGCATAGATAAATCTTCCAGTACCCGGGGATTCTATCCAGATCGCCTGCAATAGAGTACACGTCTCCCACGTATGATACGTAAGTTGCCGATACTGCGTGGCGACTTTGGTACAGTTAGTTCAAAATCATCGTATGTAAAACATTTACATGGACTACAAGGTGACCAGTGCCATCTTACGGTAGGTTCACGCATACTTCGGAGGAGAGGCGGAGCGGGGTATGTCCGACAACTTAAATTATTTTATATGACCTCGTGCATAAATCTTAATTGAACATGTTTAATGTGGATAATTATATCTTCGATTTTAACACCATATAAACACAACAATTTCTATATTGTAAATACTGATAGCAGGTCACGGTAGCCGAGCGGTCTAAGGCATACACTGTATTCGGTCGCTCTGCAGCCGGGATCGCGGGTTCTAATCCCACTTAGGGCATGGATGTTTGGTGTGTGTGTGTGTGTGTATGCGTTTATTCTGTGTTTGTGTTGTCCTGTGTTTAGGTAGACGCCTTGCGAGAAACAAGCTGATCACCCGTCCAAGGAGCCCTACCGTCTGTAAAATGATCATGAAACTGAGAAATTAGCCCTCTGCTCCAAAGTGAGAGTTAGAGGAGAGAGAGAAATATCCATATCTAGACATACTACTAATAATAAGATTACGGAAGTATTATTAGCTCTGTGCAATGTAAGGCAAATACGGCACTGATCCTCTGAAAATCAACTTCTGTATTATCCGTTTGTTAATCATAAACTACTGCCTTAAAAATATTGCACTCCTGTTGTTATAGTCTCATTTTGCTGTTGGGGATTTAATGCTATATAAAGAAGCAGAAATGAAATGATGACACTTGAATATAATTTCAATACTTAGTATGCATAACAAAGAAATAGACTCTCAGTGCATAAATAAATTGAGAGACCAAGAGAAGAGAATAAAAAGAATATGACTTAGAAATGGAATGGAAGGACTGGACGTCATAAAACGATGAAAATAATGTGTGAAAGTAAGGGTAAAAATTGCTGTTTTCCTTCTATGGAACAAGACTAAAATTACATGCATAATTGAAATTTATTTATAAGAGTAGTCACTCCGTTTTAAGAATGACAATTTGGAGTTTGACATTTTCTATATAAGACAATAATGGTTTCAGGATACATCTTCCATACCACACCTTTTGAATCCGAAATTAATAATAGTGGCATTTCATGGTTAAAATTGCAGGACTGGAATAAAAAGCCAAATCTGGAAATGTTTAAACTCTACTTTATGATCGGCTAGTCGTAAATAAACGTAAATAGATGAAAAATTGCACTAGATCTTACACATATATTTGTTTACAAATACGCAACTATTGAAGCTGTTCAATTACGTCTTGTCTTCCTTACCGCTGGGCTGGAACACAACGCAAAAGAGAGATTTCCGGATCGCTGCCAACTAAGAAGTACTTCTTTAGAGCACGCATCGGAAATTTCAGCCTAAAAGAACTTACGTAGAACCTAATTCAGGGATGCGGCAATTCACAGTTTCCTGTATGTTTATATAACACTGTTGGTACACCCAGATGCATGTTCTTAATTCCAAATAAGTGGAAATACTTTTATTTCCTTCAAGCGACAGGAAGTAGTCCCTGCAAAAGTTTGCTGTTGTTTTTTGTTCATAGAAGTGATACACATCAAACCTACTCGTACTCACTTATTCGCAATTTCACTTTTCTTCCGCTTCGGCCTTATTTTATCTATCCAACTGCTGGGTGCGATGTCTCAAGTGTGTAGCAGTTTAACAATGGATGACGTCACGTTTGCCTCGTTCGACCTGTGCACCCAGCATACAAAGTGCCTCTGACTTACTTTACTGTCATTGATGTCGTGTATTGCATCTGTTGGTCTTCAGTCATGTGTTGTAAAGCGATACACGGATTAAGTGAAAGGTTGTGATTTGGAAAGAGTTTAAATTGCCTGTTTGTTTCATTATATGCTTTCTAGGTTATTACGTTTCGGCTTGTAACAGATTTCTTCAGTTGTGTAACTTGTACCGAGACATGGCTTCTGGTAAACGTATGAAGAAAAAAGGCAAAGTGATTTTGCTCACTGGCCGATTTTAGCTTAAGTATTTGAAGGATAGCGGTGCTTACATGTTAGAACTACTTTTTTTTTCACAAGGCGTCTTTATAAGTTTTGTAAGATTTGAGGCTTTCACGGCGGTGACTATGAAGAAAGCAGTCTTCTGGGATTTGGCACCGTGTATATGTGGTGTTAACCGACGTTTCGGAGGAACGTTTTGTTTGGTAATGAAGTAAAATGCGACTTTTCTCCTAAATACCATTACCCGAGCGGTGTTTGTAACAGAGATGAAGTGTATTTTGTTCGCGATATAAATTTAACTTTCAGTACCATTTAGTTGAGTCTTTCTCGTCAAAGGATTCAGAACTAGCGGTGTTTGACTTCTGGAACAGGTAATATTTACCAATATAACATAAGGTAAAAAAGGTACAGGTATACCTATAACAAGCCATGAAGGCCCATAGGGTTGTGAGATGTTGAGGATCTCACATTTTCTCTTAGACAGTCGGATCACAGATGGCGTGAAGTTGTCAGTCTTACGCGCCGGCCGCCTTTTACCCCCAGGAATATTCCTGGTTCTCATTTCTGTTAGAGGCTGAGTCGACCCCAGAGCCATAGAGCGGCTGGAAGGACTAGGTAAATTGAAAAAGAAAATCACCTCATCGGGATTTGATCCCGCGACCTTCCGGCTTGTAGCATAGTGCCTCAACCAACTACGCTACCGCCCCACCAATATAACATACCGTAACTAATTAATTTACTCCATGGAGCGGAGTCGTTCTGGAGAAACTGACAGTCCTTCAATTTGTCGCCTTTTATGTACCAAAATGTTCATGCCGTGTTCATAAATGCCGGTGACAGGACCTATCCTGAGTCAGATGAATCCAGTATTTAAAATAATTTTCTTGCACATCCTTCATCTTCAAGGTTTCTTATAGTAATAATAATAGTAATAATAATAATAATAATTATTATTATTATTATTATTATTATAATAATGGTCTCAAATTTGTTACAGCATCGTCAAACGCTTTAAGCATGGGTCAGATGAATCCAATTCACAGTCTTCACACCCTATTTCATGATAATTTATTGTAACATGAATCTACCATCCAGACCCGTTCAAGTTTCTCGACTAAAATATTATACGCATTTTTTCGTTTTTCAATGTTTGTTGTATGTTTCACTCATCCTCTTTGATTTTACAAACGTAAGATATTGTAACGTGTTTCGTTACTGAAGACGCCGTAGAGATGGTTAATTGGTTTATTTAACAATCTACAAATAACGGCTACAATTAATTATCACAATATTACGGGTGATATTATATATTATATTAGGGCCGCGCCATAGCTCAAGCGGTTAGTCGATGGCTTCCCACCGCGGCGGCCAGGGTTCGATCCCGGGTCTGGTCAAGTGGGATTTATGGTGGAAAAAGTGGCGCTGAGGCAGGTTTTCTCCTAGTACTTCGGTTTTCCCTGCCAATCTTCATTCCACCAAATCCTCCATCATCATAATCACCCGGGGCAGGTACAATAGGCCAATCTGTGGCAGCGGTGCCGAGTGGACCCAGTTGGACTCCACCCCTCACTAAGAGAATTAAAAAAAAAAATAACTTCACTGGTAAAAACAATTACTTTAGGGCCAGGAACGCAGAAAGCAAACGTTTTCAGCACTTTCCAACTGTACTTTACTTTCACATTTTCTGCAGCAATGAGAAGAGTAGAAAGGAATACAGAAGGAGGGATGGGCATCAGAGCGAGTTTGCATCATGACAAATGGCCGTCTGTTGTGCGTTCTGCAGCTTGAATAAATCACATTAGTTTGCTGATTGAGACCTTATAGTCACTAGGGTCCAGGAAATGAGCCACGAGGTGACGGTACTGGAGTCCAGCAAGGGGTTCGCACCAGCACAATACACAACAAGTTTTGACACCTACAAATGAAATTCTGAGGGCACGCGGTAGCGTAGTTGGTTGAGGCACTATGCTACAAGCCGGAAGGTCGCGGGATCGAATCCCGACCAGGTCATTGGATTTTTTTCAATTTAGCTAATCCTTCCAGCCGCACTATGGCCCTGGGGTCGACTCAGCCTCTAACAGAAATGAGTACCAGGAATATTCTTGGAATATTCTTGGGGGTAAAGGGCGGTCGGCGCGTAAGGCTTACCTTACCGCCATCTATGAGCCGATTGTCTCACAACCATATGGGCCTCCACGGACTGGTACAGGGATACCTTTGCTTTTACTTTCCAAATGGAATTCTAAGCTTTGTAATATGACTAACATTGGCAACGATTTTTTTGGTCTAAGATTTTCTTCTTTATATTTGGCTGTTTTATAGTATGAAATTTCTTTGGTGTGAAATGTCTACGATCAAATAATTTGGGATAATTGGCAGCTTGAAGCTATTTTTTTTTATTGTTGCAGTCACTTCTGGCCTATTGTACCAGCCCCAGATGATATGTGAGGGTGATTGTGGAGCAATTGGTGGAATGAAGATTGGCAGGAGATACCGAAGTACTCGGACAAAACCTGCCCCAGCGCCACTTTGTCCACCACAAATCCCACTTGACCAGATCCGGGATCGAACCCGGGCTGCCGCGGTGGGAAGCCAGCGACTAACCGCTTGAGCTATGGCGCGGCTCCAGCTTGAAGCTAAGCACTAGATGAATTTTTGTGTTTTGTTTTGTGACGCTACCAGTTATATGGACTATATAACGTCAAATGATGACGATAATTGATGAACTGGAAAGGGTTTCGAGGGAGCTGATCGTAGTCAGATCGAAGTACTATCCTGGCATTTGCCTGGAAGGACTAGGGAAACCCTTAAAAACCCCAGGCCGCTCTATGTACATTGTGATGTTAAATAACAATATTGTACCTAATGAACGAACCGTGCATGTTTCATATGTAACTTGGTCATACTGTTTATCGTGAATTGCTGTGGTTTTCATTTATGTATATGCAACGTGTATTACAGTTCATGGAATAATAAATGAATAAAAAAATAAAATACGAGTAAAATATCCTAATTAAAAACAACTGTTCTGAAAGAGCGTTGTACGGTATGACGAATTTCATTTTTATATCTTTGTGTGTAAGAAAATACTAATTTCGTTGTTGGTAGAAGAAGATCTAGAATTCAATTAGCGAACCCTAAATTCTTAATATTGCTGTCCCCTGTTTTTGTGGCCCCCTTCTTCAGCAAGCTCTGAGGTAGACGGACCAGCAGCATGCAAAACGCAATACTACTGCGAGGAGACCAGTCATTTTTCAATATATATTGATTTTTTCGTGTGTATAATTATCCCTAAAAACTCTTGTTTCTATTACTAATTCCTCTCCTAGAATATTGCTAATTTTCCTCCATATTAAATTATAAATTATCAATTGCGATTTGTTTAAGGGTTTATAAACGAAATATTGGAGTGCCTAAATATTTCTGGAGTGTTTTTAATTGCTTCTTATAAGAATAGTATTTCAGATCTTTTTTTTTCAAAGAGTTTCGTATTTAGTGATTTATAACTTGAAATATTATTGTTGTCATGACAAAAAATTAACTGCCCTACGATTACTGTGTTTTGCCAATTATCATGCACTTTCCTTAACCACTCCAGTGTCAGTGTAAATGTTTGTCATAGCTGACTTCGGTTCAGATAAATATTCCACGAATAAACCAAGTACGTTATCTGGATAAGTAGTACCGTTTGTTATACTCACGTCAAGATGTTCCGTTGGAAGCTCACTGTGTCCCACTAAAGGGTACGTCCTTCACTCGAATGGAAATGTGACACTCCTCTGTCTTCTGGCGCAACCTACACACACACATGCGCTTTTCGAAGTTCAGGAGCAACTGATGTACACCCCGAAGTTTCTAGCTGTGATTACAGTTCCGAAAGGTGGTGATGGTAGTGGTGGTATTAAAAACGACAGCCAACAGACAATTTTCTCTAAGGCAGCAGCGGACTGGTTTTAACTCTCACTATTGAAGTCAGAGACTATTATTTGTCCAAGTGTTCCGTTGGATGGATTCAAGCGAAAGTCAGTTCCGACATGAAACATTTCGAAGTTTTGTACTGGTTTCACAAACACACAGATCATTGACATCGACACGAGGAAAGCACCAAGTTCATTTCTCTTTAGACTGGAGTTTCTTTCTAAAGGTTAACGTCATACGCCAACCTTCTGAAAATGAAAATAGGTCCGGGGCTATGTCCAGATCCGCTGTACTATAATGCGTGACGTCTCAATCAGTCTTTCCGATCAGCCTTTCGTTTTTCCGCCTCTCGAACGGATCTCGATGAAATATGGTATTTGAACTGAAGGTATATGAAGATACCGGTATTTAATTGGAGTGAAAGTGTTTTTGCACACATTTAAATAAACATAAATGTAGGTAAGTGTTTCAGAAAACATGCTGCCACTAATTACGGGTAAGTTGGGCTAGTAACTGTCTCCACAGACCTCTGTCCTTGAGAAGGTAATAGTTGATCGGATAGGCAAGACGTTCCCAATTTTTTGGAATTCTATGTTTCGCTGCTATGTACACTATAGCCCGCCACTAGACCATATCGTGAGCAAGTTGAATCTAGTTCACACCCTGAAACGGTACTCCTTTAGGACCAATTCTGATATTCCCCATTTACGCCTACATGTTAAAGTTGCCATTTACTTTCAGATTTGCAACTGCATAAATTTGTCTAATACAAATATTACCACTGTTAGACTTAATAATAATAAAGAGTATATTTGTTCCCACCGAAGTGAACGGAGAATTTCATGCAGGTAGGCCTAGGCCCACTAGGGCTATAGTGCCAAGGAAAAAAAATTGTTCCCAATCATATGTAGTGCTATTAAATAGGTTTATATCACATGATCGGTGGTTTGTAAAGCGGTTGCAAACAAAATCACTGTACATACGCACCGAAAACGAAGAATTTTCATAAATGTTTCATAATTTATTCGTTTCTATGCTTCTGTATAATGCATGGGCCTTCTCGGCCCTTGCACCGCGACCTACAGTGATCTATTGTGCTTTTCTTTGCTTCTAGTGCAGCTAGTAATGAAATTGCGATTGTAAATACCAACTCCTTCCAATGAATGTCACCAGAAAATTATATATTCAATAAATAATATCCTTATAGACATTTACCATTTACCAGCGAAAAGATGTCCTCTCACCATAAAGGTATACGTTCATTAATGAATGCCAGCACTTGTCCTGGCTTTTCTGTTAGCAACCAAATACACATGTAAGATAAGAAGATTTCACAGTGGCGATGTTCTCGGGCTATCAGCCATGTTAATTGGTTAAAAGTTACTGAATGATAACCCTGATGGTGGAAACAGAGAAGGTCCCTGCTGAAGAGTCGGTAATTTTTATATAGTTGACATGGTTGATAGTCCGAGATTTTATCAACAAAATACAAAATTCCACAATGTAATTAAAAATGAAGCATTTACATCTATTAACTACATCTAGTTGTTTTACTCCCCATCCCTTCAAATCTATAGTTTGTCAAGCGTAAGCGCGTAGCTCCATGTATTCGTAACCTGACACTAAATGGAGATAAGTGGTCAGCTTCACGCCCCAGCTGCTTCATTCCCAAGGAAGGGCTCCCAGTATCATTTTTAGTAACGCACTGACCTACGTTATCGTCTAAAAGGTGAATTTGTCCCTGTGCTTAACTAATGGAGCACTACGCCATGAAGGCGTATGGGGAAGTGGATGCATAGATCCACATTTTTTGACCTCGACACTAGCTGGAGGTGAGTGGTCAGCTTCACGCTCCTGCCGCTTTACCCCCGGTACCCACTGGATAGGAGGCTGGGTGGGCCCCAGAGCCGGTCTGCACGACATGGAAGTGAAAATTCTTGCACCCACCGGGGCTCGAATTCCGAACACTTGGTTGTCCAGCCCGTAGTCAGTCGCTATACCGGCTGCGCTGTCCCTGCCTGCTCTCCTACGTTTTAATTTAATTTAATTTAACATTTATTTTTGCCAAGCTTATCACGCGTCTTATCACAAACACATGTTTCGTTACAGGCAAATTGCGATAAGCATGCAATATTTGGGGGGGGGGATAAAATAAAACGAGATATGTGATGTATGTTACACCTACACACAGACGATTTTCACCGTGGGCCATGTTTGAGAAAAATTAAGGTGTCTAATTTCGGTCCTTTTGTGTGTGACGTAGGACGTATTGAGTCGAAACGGGTAAGTATAAATTCTCCCGAAACGTTTAGTGCAGACCCCAATGTCGCGTCAGTAAAGTTGTTTAGGAGATGAAACACGGACAGAAGTGATTTCAAATTAAACGTTACCTTTGCGTACCATTTAATTGTGTTCACACAATTAAAACTGATGCTTCCGTGAAAATGATTTCTGAAACCTAGGAATTTAAAGCTGAAACGACTTAAGTTCGGGAAGAATTTACCAGAAAGCAACTTCACGTCACATTATCTGCTCGTAGCAAAACGATGAAACTCAGATCTGAACGTTCTGTAAGTAGCTATTCGTACTAGCTCTACAACAGGTCAATCTCTTTCGGTATCGTCTCTCGACGTGGCACCGTGTAATCCGGTAGACGTTTCGGATGAAAGTATTGCTTCCATGTTCAGGCCTGAAGATAATGAAAGGAGTAGGATTTTAGATTTGCACAGCGATGGTTATGATTGCTGAAATATAACGCCGTGTAGTCCGTTGAATGTCAACATACTACAAGGCATTATACCCCAGAAGACAGAACTCTTCATGATGAAGGGCGATCACATTCTCTGCAGCACAGCAAAGTGCATGGATTGCAATTTTGTGAAATATCCTATACCTACCTCCTATTCAGCCTTGTTTATTTATAAGTTCCCGAATTCTGAGCCAGTGCGTCACTGTTAATTTCTTCATTGCACTGACCTACAAAGCAAATGACTAGACGAAAGGAAAAGTTTACTCTGGTAGTTAAGTTATACTGTACAGACAAGACGCCCTCCTTCCCCACTACTTCGTGCACTGGATACCGCTAGCAGAGAGGTAAACCCGCGGTAGCCCTTTCGGACAAACTTTCACTCAGAGAATTGAATAAAACCTCGTCCTCATGAAGTACGTAGTACAACATATACCATACAGTTATTCATAGGGGAATTTAGGGAATACTTGGTTTACTTCCTAGGCACGACACAATAGTTTTTTTCTAAACCTTCCAGCTCTCTGCTCCGAAAGAAAGGCCTAAAATAATTCAACGGTTTGCTGGCCGTGCAGAAGGTTCACGAAAAATGGAAGTTCCTCTAACTTGTTCGTATCGACCATCCACAATACTACAGCCACAGGCAAGAAGACCACAATCTAAACATGCTTTTGCATGAATTTTAAAATGACAAAGCACTGCTAAATTAAAAATTCGGATGTCTACAAGATTAACTGAATTCTTATGTTGACATTTGGAATTTTTCTCTGCTGATCATTGTTAAATTAAATTCGAATATCTGCAAGTTTATGTCGACACTTGGAATTTATCCCAACTGATGACTCTTGTCTGTTTGCAAGTTCTTCTGAGATTTAGGGTTGTTGATGACTGAGATGTGTACACTATAAAGTCTGAATGTAAACTACTGTAGTATTGTAACTACTACACTCCAAATGTGGCAGCAGCAGTTCTGCTGAAACTTAGCAATCAGCTACTAATTACATGAAGTCACATCCCCAAACACCTTAAATCTTAAAACTGTATCATTTCCTATTTACTACATGGTATAAAGACATGAAACCATCAGTTTCCGGAAGTCTAAAGATATTAAGTACCCATGCAGCATGTAAGATCTGTTTGACTTGAATTTTTAATATTTTACTATCAAAAAGTAAACTCGCTATGGCTTACTCTCAATATCGCACCATCTTCATAATCACAGTAAGAGAGATGTGGTAGGATATAAAGAACTTTGGTGTTTTAACTTGAAATTCCAGCTGCAAACTTACTGTCCTCAGATATTTTGTAGATTTTAAGGCCCAAAACTGGAACAGTATGTTAAAAATAGTCTCAGATCACTCTCATACATTCTTTCTAATCCACCAATTCATTACACACGTATTTCACTCAGTGCTATATAATACTTGAAGTTATCTGTAATGGCATACTATCCATTATTCTTATACTTATCACGAAAAAACTGAAATCTTGAAAAAAATTTAGTTCGTTTCCATATTGTCCAATTAAAAAAAAACTGCAATAAAGCAATCAATCAGTTTTATACTAATATGGAATATGTTAACTAGCAGTGAGCCCATAAATGAATACATCTGAATAGGAGAAATTAATGCAAATGAAAAACTGGGAATGATGTACGAATCTGCTAACATCTTAGTTTTTAACTCGAAAAAATATCCTGTACTGTATCATATAACTTACTGTCTTAAACTCGACTCCCTCAGCCTCTCTTAGTGTCGATTCTAACTTACATATTATTCAAGCCATTCAATGGCAAATCTTTCGGAATACTATTCTTGCTCTGTCTGTGCATTTTGGCAGAATTTACATATATTTTAATGCCATACTATGAATTAACTTACTCTTTTTAATTTTTCTAGTTCAAGCCTTCCAAGCATACAAAAATTTGAATGGGGGGAGACTGTACTTCATTATGGAAGAAATTTCAGGGGCACCTGGTCTTCAACCTCTGTAGAGTGAAGAAAATTTGCAAAGGCCTACACAAGTTACCGATTTTGTGTAACTGACTGGTGTCTGTCCCACTTTCCTGGCAACTGATTTCTGAACTGTAATACATACGAGGGCTATTCAGAAAGTAACCTCCCTTGGAGTGCGGGAGAGCCCCTGCATGCAAGGTAGCGTCACACGACTGACTTTTAAACCATTACATAAC